CCGTCGCCCAAAGACATCAAGAAAAAAATCCTTTAATATTTTAAGTCCCAGCCAGAGTCAATTTGTTAACAAAAATAAGCCAGACATCTTCACTACAATGTAGGATGGGCCATAATCATTAACCACACCTACCAATTAACTCAGACCTCCTCAGCTCGAGCAGCTTTAAGGTTGGCCCATTCATTTATACAGGAGGATCTGCGCATGCGCAGTAGACAATACCGGGAACACCCACTAACAATCAGTTCAAACATGGTACAAATATACAGCATCTTTAAAAAAATCATAAAAAATCCAAACTTAATGGGAATCAGCTCCACTTCTGTACACTACATAAGTACATGTATATGCATCAGAAAATGTAATAACATTCAGAAATTTTTCACTTGTCAATTTTTTTGAAATTTTTTAAAAATACCTGTACTATAGTACAGGGACTTTTGTCCGATTCTGGAGCAACTATAAAAAATCATAAAAAATCCAAACTTGATCGGAATCAGCTCAACTTCCCTATACAGCTTAAGGACATCAATATGTATCAGAAAATGTAATAAAAATTTGGAGTGATTTTTTGGCCATTTTTGTAAAGATGATATGTTACTTACAGTAAGTTGGCCCATTCCTTTACACAGGAGGTCTGCGCATGTGCAGTAGACACCACTCAACTTTCTGCAGATGCACAGAAGTATTGCGCATATCTCCTTAATTAATACATTCTTTTCAGTAATAACGACACTACTGCCATCATCACACCTAATAGTTAGCTAAATAGTCACTGTTATTGTTATAATAAACTTGATACTACACTAAAATACAGGTAAAACAGTCTACACACTACACAGTAATTAAACAACAGTTAAAATTATCTCAGTATATACAGTAATGTTGTACAATTAAAAAGGTATAATGAATATAAGCTGTCCTATCTTGGTAAAAGATGATCCATCACCTTGAGAAGGAGTAAGACTTCATTAGTGTACATCAAAGTCCATCTCACTATAAATAGAACAGTAAAAACACTAGTATACAGCTGTTAAAACAGTATTGTACTGTATTTTAAACATTACTTTACCTAATTGTACACGTTCAGTAATACAGTAAAACTCATAAGCTTATACAGTAGTTATACATACACAATACAGTATTGATCTATAGTGTATTTACCTCGGTAACTACAGTTGTAATGGATAAGTTAAGCCTCGGACAGGCCAGGATTGAGTACAACAACTCCCCAATGATAGTGAAAGATGTCCCGTCGCCCAAAGACATCAAGAAAGAAGGTCCTTTAATACTTTAAGTCCCAGCCAGAGTCAATTAATTAACAAGAATAAGCCAGACATCTTCACTACAATGTAGGATGGGCCATAATCATTAACCACACCTAGCAATTAACTCAGACTTCCTCAGCTCGAGCAGCTTTCAGGTTGGCCCATTCATTTATACAGGAGGATCTGCGCATGCGCAGTAGAATATACCGGGAACACCCACTAACAATCAATTCAAACAAGGTATACAAATATACAGCACCTTTAAAAAATCATAAAAAATCCAAACTTGATTGGAATCAGCTGAATCTTTCTACACAGCATAAGGACATCAATATGTATCAGAAAATGTAATAAAAATTTGGAGTGATTATTTGTCCATTTTTGCAAAAATGGTATGTTACTTACAGCAAGTTGGCCCATTCCTTTACAGAGGAGGTCTGCGCATGTGCAGTAGACACCACTCAACTTTCTGCGGATGCACAAACACATTGCGCAATCTCCTTAATTAATTTATTAATAATACATTCTTTTAAGTAATAACAACACTACTGCCATCATTGCACCTAATAGTTAGCTAAATAGTCACTGTTATTGTTATAATAAACTTGATATTACACTAAAATACAGGTAATACAGTTTTCAGACCATACAGTAATTAAACAACAGCTAAATATCTCAGTATATACAGTAATGTTGTACAATTAAAAAGATATAATGAATATAAGCTGTCCTATCTTGGTAAAAGATGATCCATCACCTTGAGAAGGAGTAAGACTTCATTAGTGTACATCAAAGTCCATCTCACTATAAATAGAACAGTAAAAACACTAGTATACAGCAGTTAAAACAGTATTGTACTGTATTTTAAACATTACTATACCTAATTGTACACGTTCAGTAATACAGTAAAACTCATAAGCTTATACAGTAGTTATACATACACAATGCAGTATTGATCTATAGTGTATTTACCTCGGTAACTACAGTTGTAATGGATAAGTTAAGCCTCGGACAGGCCAGGATTGAGTACAACAACTCCCCAATGATAGTGAAAGATGTCCCGTCGCCCAAAGACATCAAGAAAGAAGGTCCTTTAATATTTTAAGTCCCAGCCAGAGTCAATTAATTAACAAGAATAAGCCAGACATCTTCACTACAATGTAGGATGGGCCATAATCATTAACCACACCTACCAATTAACTCAGACCTCCTCAGCTCGAGCAGCTTTCAGGTTGGCCCATTCATTTATACAGAGGGATCTGCGCATGCGCAGTAGACTATACCGGGAACACCCACTAACAATCAATTCAAAGATGGTACAAATATACAGCACCTTTCAAAATCATAAAAAATCCAAACTTGATCGGAATCAGCTCCACTTCTCTACACATCATAAGTACATGTATATGCATCACAAAATGTAATAAAACTGGGGAATTTTTCACTTGTCAATTTTATTGAAATTTCCCAAAAATCCCAGTACTATAGTACAGGGACTTTTGCCTGATTTTATAGCAACTATAAAAAATTCAAACTTTATCGGAATCAGCTAAACTTCCCTACACTGCATAAGTACATGTATACGCATCAGAAAATGTAATAAAACTGGGGAATTTTTCACTTGTCAATTTTATTGAAATTTTTCAAAAATCCCTGTACTATAGTACAGGGACTTTAGCCCGATTTTTGAGCAACTATAAAAAATTCAAACTTCATCGGAATCAGCTCAACTTCCCTACACTGCATAAGTACATGTTTATGCATCAGAAAATCTAATAACACTGGGGAATTTTCTACTTTTCAATTTTTGTGAAATTTTACAAAAATCCCTGTACTATAGTACAGGGACTTTTGTCCAATTTTTGAGCAATTTTGAAAAATCATAAAAAATCCAAACTTGATTAGAATCAGCTGAATCTTTCTACACAGCATAAGGACATCAATATGTATCAGAAAATGTAATAAAAATTTGGAGTGATTTTTTGGCCATTTTTGCAAAAATGGTATGTTACTTACAGCAAGTTGGCCCATTCCTTTACAGAGAAGGTCTGCGCATGTGCAGTAGACACCACTCAACTTTCTGCGGATGCACAGACGCATTGCGCAATCTCCTTAATTAATTTATTAATAATACATTCTTTTAAGTAATAACAACACTACTGCCATCATCACACCTAATAGTTAGCTAAATAGTCACTGTTATTGTTATAATAAACTTGATACTACACTAAAATACAGGTAATACAGTTTACACACCACACAGTAATTAAACAACAGCTAAATATCTCAGTATATACAGTAATGTTGTACAATTGAAAAGATATAATGAATATAAGCTGTCCTATCTTGGTAAAAGATGATCCATTGCCTTGAGAAGGAGTAAGACTTCATTAGTGTACATCAAAGTCCATCTCACTATAAATAGAACAGCAAAAACACTAGTATACAGCAGTTAAAACAGTATTGTACTGTATTTTAAACAATACTTTACCTAATTGTACACGTTCAGTAATACAGTAAAACTCATAAGCTTATACAGTAGTTATACATAAACAATTGATCTATAGCCTGCGTATTTACCTCGGTAACTACAGTTGTAATGGATAAGGTTAGCCTCGGACAGGCCAAGATTGAGTATAACAACTCCCCAATGATAGTGAAAGATGTCTCGTTGCCCAAAGACATCAAGAAAGAAGGTCCTTTAATATTTAAGTCCCAGCCAGAGTCAATTTGTTAACAAGAATAAGCCACACATCTTCACTACAATGTAGGATGGGCCATAATTATTAACCACACCTACCAATTAACTCAGACCTCCTCAGCTCGAGCAGCTTTCAGGTTGGCCCATTCATTTATACAAGGGGACTGCGCATGCGCAGTAGAATATACCGGGAACACCCTAACCACGCCCTCCAATCAACTCAGACAGGACCTCCTCAGCTCGAGCAGCTTTCAGGTTGGTCCATTCATTTATACAAGGGATCTGCGCATGCGCAGTAGACAATACCGGGAACACCCACTAACAATCAGTTCAAACATTGTACAAGTATACAGCACCTTTAAAAAATCATAGAAAATCCAAACTTGATCGGAATCAGCTCGACGTCTCTACACATCATAAGTACATGTATATGCATCAGAAAATGTAATAACATTCAGGAATTTTCACTTGTCAATTTTATTGAAATTTCCCAAAAATCCCTGTACTATAGTACAGGGACTTTTGCCCAATTTTGAAGCAAATATAAAAAATCATAAAAAATCCAAACTTGATCAGAATCACCTGAACTTCCCTACACTGCATAAGTACATGTATATGCATTGGAAAATGTAACAACATTCAGGAACTTTTCACTTGTCAATTTTATTGAAATTTCCTGAGAATCTCTGTACTATAGTACAGGGAGTTTTCTCCGATTCTGGAGCAACTATAAAAAATCATAAAAAATCCAAACTCGATCAGAATCAGCTGAATTTTTCTACACAGCATAAGAACATCAATATGTAACAGAAAATGTTATAAAAATTTACAGTGATTTTTTGGCCATTTTTGTAAAGATGGTATGTTACTTACACTAAGTTGGCCAATTCCTTTACACAGGAGGTCTGCGCATGCACAGTAGACACCACTCAACCTTCTGCACATGCAAAGAAGTATTGCGCAATCTCCTTAATTCATTTATTAATAATACATTCTTTGAGTAATAACGACACTACTGCCATCATCACACCTAATAGTTAGCTAAATAGTCATTGTTATTCTTATAATAAACTTGATACTACACTAAAATATAGGTAAAACAGTCTACACATCACACAGTTATTAAACAACAGTCGTATGTACAGTAATGTTGTACAATTAAAAAGATATAATGAATAAAAGCTGTCCTATCTTGGTAAAAGATGATCTATCATCTTGAAAAAGAGTAAAACTTCATTAGTGTATATCAAAGCCATCTCACTATAAATAGAACAGTAAAAACACTAATATACTGCAGTTAAAACCGTATTGTACAGTATTTTAAACCGTACTTTACCTAATTGTACATGTTCAGTAATACAGTAAAACTCATGCTTATGAGTTATACATACACAATATTATATACAGTATTGATCTATAGTGTAATTACAGTTGTAATGGATGAGGTAAGCCTCCAGGATTGAGTACAAGTCCCCAATGATAGTGAAAGACGGCCCGTCACCCAAAGCTATCAAGAAAGAAGGTCCTTTAATATTTTAAGTCCCAGCCAGGGTCAATTTGTTAACAAGAATAAGTCTCCTCTCACCAGACATCTTCACTAGTATGTAGGATGGGCCATAATCATTAACCACACCTACCAATTAACTCAGACCTCCTCAGCTCGAGCAGCTTGCAGGTTGGCCCATTCCTTTATACAGGGGGATCTGCGCATGCGCAGATCACAATTAATTGAAAGGCTACTGTACGGGCAAGCCCAGGTCATGACATGGGCTTGCCCGGGGCATGCATGGGCTTGCACTGTGAGCAATCCCTTTGATGTATTGCGCAATATCAGGTCACTAGAAGATCTTCCTCAGCTCGACCACCTCAGCTCGAGCAGCTTTCAGGTTGGCCCATTCCTTCATACAGGGGGATCTGCGCATGCGCAGTAGACAATACTGGCCACACCCACCAACCTGCTGAGCATGCTAGCTGATCTGAAAAGGTTGGTGGGTGTGACCAGTATTATAGAATATCTTCAAAGTTTCAGTGAGAATTGGTGTACCAAATTTATTAAGAAACCATTACTATTCTTAAGTCCCAGCCAGAGTCAAGATTGTAGCAAGAATAAATCTCCTGTAGACATTTCATTGGAATTAATCACATGAATCAGCTCAAACTTCTACACAGCATAAGTACATCTATATGCATCAGGAAATGTAATAAAATTGAGAAATTTTCTACTTGTAAATTTTTTTGAAATTTTTGAAAAATCCTTGTACTATATACAGGGACTTTTGTCCAATTTTGAGCAAATTAAAAAAATCGTAGCAAATCCAAACTTGATCAGAATCAGCTAAATCTTTCTAGACAGCATAAGGACATCAATATGTATCAGAAAATGTAATAAAAATTTGGATTTATTTTTTGACCATTTTTGTAAAGATGGTATGTTACTTACACTAAGTTGGCCCATTCCTTTACACAGGAGGTCTGCGCATGCGCAGTAGACACCACTGAACCCTCTGTACATGCAAAAAAAGTATTGCGCAATCTCCTTAATTCATTTATTAATAATACATTCTTTGAGTAATAACAACACTACTGCGATCATCACACCTAATAGCTAGCTTAATAGTCATTGTTATTGTTATAATAAACTTGATACTACACTAAAATACAGGTAAAACAGTCTACACACCACACTGTAATTAAACAACAGTTGTATATACAGTAATGTTGTACAATTAGAAATATATAATGAATAAAAGCTGTCCTATCTTGGTAAAAGATGATCTATCATTTTGAAAAAGAGTAAAACTTCATTAATGTACATCAAAGTCCATCTAACTATAAATAGAACAGTAAAAACACTAATATACAGCATTTAAAACAGTACTGTACTGTATTTTAAACCGTACTTTACCTAATTGTACATGTTCAGTAATACAGTAAAACTCATGTTTATGAGTTATACACACACAATATTATATACAGTATTGATCTATAGTGTAATTACAGTTGTAATGAATGAGGTAAGCCTCGGACAGG